TACAACTAAATAATATTGCTTTCTTATGTTTAGTAGTCTTTGAAGTGCTTATTTTTATCCCAAATGCAGAGTAGTAGTGGTGGTTTCACATGTTGGGAGCCTAGAAGAACCTACCGTTGCGTAGAGGTAATTCATCTAAAAATCCTTTCCTCACTTCTTTTCTTTATTAAACGCTTGAAGATTACGTTGTTTGCATTCCTTTTCCTTTGACAAGTGGTATTCACATTTTGCAGAATTTTAATCCTACAGAGTTTTTTGAAGATACTGTCGTAGAAACGGAGTAAGTCTTGTTTCAGATATACAAAGGAGCCAAATTAGTATTGATCCCTTTTTCTGGCCTTCTGAAATAACAGTCATAAATAAATTGCCTCACTCTAGGTATGTAGAGTGTACTTCTTCAGCAATTCAAAGCCTCTTGCTTTTTAGGAAATTATATCCCAAGCATCGAAGAACTGAGATAGACCACAGTATTGTAACAGCTGCCCGTTACCTTGAAGAGACACAAAAACAAAATGGTTCATGGTTAGTTTCAGTTTCAACTCCATTCCTATCATTATCATGCAAGCCATATGCACATAACTTGTCACATTCATTGGCTTTTGATAAAATAGGTATGGTTCCTGGGGAATATGCTACACCTATGCCACATGGTTTGCTGTAGAAGGGCTGGCTGCCTGCGGCAGGACCTATCACAATAGTCCTACTTTGCGTAAAGCTTGTGAATTTTTATTATCTAAGCAGCTACCAAATGGGGGATGGGGAGAAAGTTACCTTTCTTCCCAGAATAAGGTATGGTCTCTTCTCTTCAGACCTTCTGGAGCTACAAAAGAGAAGTGTATGTGGTTCTTTGTGACCTTGAAACAATGAGATCAGATTTGTGATTTTCTAGCGTATAAGAAATTCTTTCAAAATGACATTTGAAATATAGGTGTATACATACCTAAAAGGCGACCGCTCAAACTTGGTACAAACAGCATGGGCTTTATTAGCTCTCCTTCATGCTGGACAGGTTAGTATAAAATCTCCTGTTCTACCCAAATGTCAAATGTTTTGAGTACCGTATCTTTTACATTTACGAAGGTCTCAAGATATTATCAAAACGAAGGAAAATTGAAAAAACTGTTTTTCTCGTTTATTGTTTTATTGCGCTGAATTATGTGCATGAAGGCTGAAGTAGATCCTACCCCAATTCACCGTGGAGTCAAACTCCTCATAAATTCACAACTGGAAGATGGTGACTTCCCTCAAGAGGTAATCCATGAAAAAGTGCAAGGACACAACAACTAAATGTTGCTATTTCAAAAAAGAAGAAGTAAGAAGCTAAACAGCTTCCTTTCTAACTACAAAAGTCTATTTGTGATTGAAAACAGGAAATTACCGGAGTATTTATGAGGAATTGTTTACTACACTATTCATCTTACCGGAACGTATTCCCCATATGGGCACTTGGAGAGTATTATTCTGTGTTCTTCTTGCATAAATCTAAAAGGAATAGGCTGTACTGTACCCAACTCTGATGTACTCATGCCTTTAATGTGATAAGGAGAGGTGTATGATCTTATGTATTCTTCTCAATAAGAGTTGAAAAATATATTAGGATAAGGTTTAATTTAATAAATTATTTATTAATTTTTATATTCTTTTTAATTTTATCTATTATCTTTGAATTCTTTCAATTTTGTATATTATCCTTTATATTTATTTCGATTCCATTTAATTCGTTAAAGATAATGAAAATCTTTTTATCTTGTTCGAAAACAATTAGTACTTTAATTATTATTTTTTATTTTTTAGTCCTTAAATTTATATTCACCATAAAAATAGTTTTTATTTTTATCATGTTAAATGAGTTTTTTAGAAAGCTGTTTTACATGACAAATTGCATACAATATGTCATATAAAATTATTTAAATATATTTAATTTTATTTTTATATTATTTTTTAAAATACATTTAAATAATTTTACATGACAGATTATATACAGTCTGTCGTGTAAAACATATTTATTCTTAAAATTATTTTTTGAATTATCATATTTTATTGAAATTATAGTGTTACTTTTTTAAAACTTAAAAGATTATTCTTTGTTGTTAGATTTAACAATAACTTTTCACAATAGGTTAATTTGAAATATTTTTTAAAGTTTATATATGATTTAGAAAAAAAAAACTTTTTAGATTAAAATTAAATTAAACTAATAATTAATAAATTAATTACTGAATTAAGTTATTAAAATAATATCAAACTACCCATTTTATTAAAATATAATTTTTTATAAAAATTTAACTAAATTAATATTTACTGAACAAGGATTGCTATGTTTATAGCCGAGTGCATAATTATTCACCTTATCCCCTTCATATTTTTATTTTTATTTTTTAAATTAAAAAAATTACACTCGAAGCAATCAACCCGACAGCAACTAGCATCGTCAGAACCTTAACATGGAAGTTCAGGGCTTAAAGCTGTTGTATTGTAGTAGTTGGAGACTACGCTTGTTGCTTTTGCTTTTGCTTTTAGCCTGTAGCGTGATGAAGTCAACAATCAAGCCTATGAATCTAAAGAAATTGGACCTGGCTCAACCTCCAAAGTCCAAACTTGGCGGCGGCATTAAAGTCATTTGACGTCCCCAAGAACAGCCGGTCCACTACCAACCAGGTGTAAAAATATAGGTTAAATTTTTAATTTGGTCCCTAAATTATTATATAAACTCTTGATTTGATCTTTAAATTAAAAAAATTCTTAATTTAATCTCAAAATTATTGTACTGATCCCTATTGGATCCTTACTGTTTACTAATTTACACTAAATTGGTTATTCTATAAAAAAACCAACATATATGTCTTATTATTAATGTAACACATGATCGTTAAGTTATTATTTTTCGTTATTAAGTTACTATTTTTATCATTAAATAACGGACACATCAGTTTTTTTGTATAAAAAAACTAATTTAGAAAAAATTAATAAATAGTATGAATCAAGTTAGGATCTGTATAATAATTTAAGGACCAAATCAAAAATTTTTTAGTTTAAAAATTAAAAATTTATATAATAGTTGATGGATCAAATTAAAAATTTTACTTAAAATATGAGTTTGTTATTTTGTACTGTCCAACATTTTTTTTAATATTTAAAATACACCCAGTAATATTTTTGCTTTTTGCACGGTTTGATTAAATGAAAAATTATTTTGTAGTTTCTTTCTTGATAAGAATTATTCTATAATTTAAATTATATTATATTATAAAATATAAATTTTAAACAAAAATTTAATTTTTTAATATTAGAAACTCTTTTTATTAAAAAATTTTTATTTTAAAATTTAAACAATAAAATAAAATACTTTTAACAGTAATAAGGCTGGTTTGTGTACCGCGATATTGCACTGTGATTCCAGGGTTGACTAAAATAAGTTCCCAACAAAACTCGAAAATGGATGTGAAGGGGGGAATTAGGAAGTAGTTATTGTCATAGTCAAATATATTAAGAACATAATACTTAAGTTTTTTTTTTAAATAGTGTATGAAAATATTAGTTTATTAATTGATTTTAATTTATTAATTAATAAATATAAATTATTTTATTAATTATTAATTTATAATTATGATTATTAATTAATTTTATTGATTAAATTAAATAAAATTGATATTTTTAAAAATAATATTTTATAGTTTTGATAATCTTAGCATATTTAATAATGACCATAATCCTCTAAAAAAATTAGTGTTAGAATTTTCAAAACTCTAAATGTGATTCACATTTTTAAAACCCAAATGTTTACATTCACATTTCATTACAACCTTAGTCTTTGGTCAAAGAAAGAGGAGAAAAATTAATTTAACTATGCACTAATTGATTAAGGACCTAAAAAAAATCATTCAAGGACTAATCTCTTGTGAAAAAGCAACGTAAATTAATGTGACTTTATTAAAGTGTGGTACACATGGTCCATAAAATCATGCATAAGATATTTGGTCCACATTTAGCCTAAAATAATAAAAGGGTATGTCCATAACTCCATATCAAGTTTTTATTGCAACCATAGCCAACTTTATAATAGAACCAATCGCTACATTTCCCTTAAAATCTCAAAAAAAAAAAAAAAAGTGATTTAACATCAGAGGATAGAGAATGGTGGGTGTCTCTTTGTCGGTCTTCTATTTCTTTTCTTTTCTTTTTTTTGGTTTTGTTTTTAAATGGTATATATCTCACTAAGGGTCCTAGGTGGTTTTCTTTCCATCAATCATAATGATGAGTAGTTGGGCGCAGTGCCACTACCATGGAATCCAATACAAAAAATTCTCCTTCAATATGATACACTTACCAGTATAATAACAAGGTTATACCTTTTGATGATTATATATATATATATATATATATATATATTTGTGTGTAAAATTACACTTTGCAGTACCTTTGTCTCAAGTCAATCTAACTTTAATAACAATTTGGTCTGAAACCAAAATTTTTACATATATTTAACTATGTAAGTAAACTTTTATATAATAAATGAAATAATTAAATATATTAAATTAAAATAAAATTTAAAATACATAATTAATATGAAGAATACAAGAATTTAATTCAACTTACTAGAAAACATGAAATTAATCTAAAATCAGTTTGAGCCAAAACGAAATGAAAAGAAAGTTAAAACCAAGAGACAGATACAACATGATGAGTGTGACAAGTGACAACGATGGTGAAGGCATGATGTTGCGTATACTTTTGAAATTGTACTGGGTTGGTTAATTACAAAACCAAAGGGTAATTTTGGAATCAAACCAAAGCAAACAATAACAAAAAAAAAATAATTAACATCTAATCATGGTTAGAGCACCTAATTCTAACTTTATCAAGAATGCATGTTTTATGAGAAAAAGGGTAGGTCGGCAGCATCGAAAAAAATTTAAAAAAATTTTAAAATTATGTTATTTTAATAAATATTTATTAAAAAATTAAAATATTTTTACTTTTAAAGCATGAATAACTATTTTAATTTTTTATAATATTTTAAAAAATAATGTAATTTTAATTTTTTTTATTTAATTGTTTTATAAATTTAACTTGATAAACTCTAATTTTTTTTATAATTTATCATATTTTAGAATTTAAAAAGATAAAATACTCTTAATGAATGACTCAATAAAAAAATATATGAAAATTTATTTTTTATCTTAAAATAACTATTTATCTTAACTTAATTGTCATTTTTTTTATTTTTTAAAGTAAGTAAATATTTTTTTTATTTTAACCTTATAATTATTTATCTAATTTAATTAATTATTCAATTACAAAAATTATTTCTTTATTTTTTATTTCTTTTTTAAGAATATTATAGATAAATATATTTAGGATTTATCTAATTTGTATCATAAGGTACGTGTTAAAATGCATTAAATGCATTATTTTGTAATAAATTTCTATAGAAAAATGTAAAAATAAGACATTATTTTTAAAAGTTATTCTATTGGGTATAGGTTAAGGATACTTTTTTAACATTAATTAACATTAAAAAATAAAATTTAACATTTATTTAATCAATTGTTCAATTAAAACAATATATATAGTATTAGTGATAAAATTAATGTCAACTTTTGTTATTTTTTATACTAATTAATATCAAAGGGTACAGGTTAGATAAATCATGTTTTTAATAGCAATACCACTTGAATGATTTTAATAAAGTAGTTAGTAAATTTAAAATCAATTTGTATTTTTTTCTATATAAATTAATTATAAAAAAATATAATTAATGTTTTCTTAACTTGTATCATAAGAGTACAAGTTAGATAAATCTATATTTTTATTATCTTCAAAGTTTTAATAAAGAAAACTCAAATACTGATAGCTATTTTGGGACCAAAAAGTAATGTTGTTTGGTATAACCAATGTTTTAAGACTCGGCTTGGTGATTGACCCATTTTGGTCATTAGATTTGGTTCAATCGGTTCAATCAATTGGTTCAATCGGTCAACTAAAAAAATCACTTTCCTAGTATTTTTATTAGATTTTACTCTTATATATTACTTTTATTCTAGTCTTAAGAAATAATCATCATAAAATTAACTTGAAAATCACCATTTAAGCAACTTAAAATAATAAATTTAATTAAATACATATGATTTTTAAGATCTAAACTAATAAATATTAAAATACATAATATAAGATAAGTTTACCAACACATGATCATAACGGAGAACTCAATTTTAAACTAAATTCACTACAAAATAAGACTTGAATATAATAGAAAGTTTCAAATCAAATCTACAATAAAGATAAATATCAAATAAATAAAGCATCATTACTAATTCATTTGTTTTGACCTAAATAAGGAGCATCTTTATCAAAATAAACATTTAGCTCTCCAAAGTCATGCTCACTATCACTATCTTCAAGTCCATCACCAATTGTTTTTAATACAATTAACAACTTGCAAAAAATTGTAAATTTGAGAATGAAATTCAAGGTAAAGCTAAAAATCTTACTCAAATCAACTGCCCAAATGCCCAAATGCACAAGAGGAGAGAAGAGTCATGGAGTCACGGACTACTTCTGTTGAGATGATCTGTTTGCTTTACTACTTCTGTTTAGTCCGATGAGGAAGAAAAAGATGAGTGGCGACGGTGTGAGCAGAATCGGGGAACAATCTGTTATGCTTTGCTACTTCTGTTTGGGTCGGTGAAGGATAGGAAGATGAGTGGCAGAGGTGTGAGGCTATGAGTAGACCTGGCAAACAGGCGGGTTGGGTCGGGTCAGAACGGATAACGAGTCAAAACAGGTTTGGTTAAAATGGGTCACGGGTTAATGAAGGTAGACCCTAACTCGCCCATCACGGGTCATGGATTGACCCAATTAAATTTTTTTCTTTATAATTTGTACCTATTATTATTTAAAGAAAATTATTCAAAAGATTTTAAAAAGGAATTCAATATCTTATAAAAAGAATTTTTTTCCTATTAATTTAATGTATAGATATTTATAGTTCTTTAGAATCATCTTCTCAACTTCCCTTCAAAGAACAACATTAATCAAATTCAAGAACAACATTAACCAAATTCAAGAACAACGTTAATTAAATTCAAGAACACTACACATTTATAAATCTCAATAGCAAAAAAAAAAAAAACAGTATAACAACCAAAAAGCACAAACCCCAATGGAACATATTTGTTCTGGTCGTTGCTTTCAAAGAATCAATCAATTGAATGCATCTAAGCAAAGGACAAGATCAAGTAGAATTTTTACTTGGAATGGAGAGAAAACTAAAAAGCATAAATAAGTAAACAACTTACCTTAAAGGTTTTAGAGAGAAAAGTTGAGGACAAAGAGAGCACTTGTCAAACTCGAAAGAGAAAGAAAGAAAGGGCTAAGTGGACGCGATGGTGACTTGGTGAGACTAAAAGCTAAGTCTGAGATAATGTTAAAAACTAAAGAGAAAATGTGGAGTCGAAACTTGAAAGTCGAAAGCTGTATGAACTATGGAGGTTAGAGAATATGAGAAGGGTTTGAACTTTGAAGAGTTAGAGTCTTAGAGAATATTAGGGCAAGCAAGAATAGGAAAGGTCAAGAGGTGAGTCATAAATGGAGTGAGATTATTTTTACTTCTAAAAGATGATGAGTTAAGAGAATCAATTAGCTAATTAGAGAAAATTAGTCAATTATTAGAGATTTAGGTGGAATTGAGAATTGAAAAATAATAAATAAATAATAAATTAAAATTTTTTAAATTTTTAGACAGTTAAACGAGTCAAACTCGTTAACCCGATGGGTCAACCCGTTATTGACTCATGACCCATCGAGTTCTCTTAACGGGTCATTAACGGGTCACGGGTCATAAATATATGACCCTAACCCGTTTTAAACAGGCAAGTAATGAGCAGGTTAACGGGTTGGGTAAAAAATTGTCAGGTCTAGCTATGAGCTTTATTAGGATGTTGTCGACGGAGGAGAAGTGCTGAGCTATCGATGGAGATGCAGGGAGATCAAGCTGCTCTGTTGCTTATGTTCAGTTTAGAAGAGGAGATGAGACCAACGGAGATGTAGGTGACTAGTGAGTGAGATGCCGATGAAAGTGGAGCAGCGAGACCAAGGTGCTTTGTTGCGTCTGTTTGGTGGTGACTAGTGAGGCGACAGAGTCACAGAGATGGAGTAAGGATGAGGGAGAAGGATGGCCGATGATGTTTTTTGTAATTCTGCTTTCTAATTTCGTTTTTTCCAACTGTTTTTACATAATAGTCCTTCTTATTAAGGTTTTTTTAATTTAATTTAAGTTTAATTTAAGGTTTTTAATGTAATATCATTAAAAAGATAGGATAAAATAGGTAAATTACATTAACAACATATAAAAAAAAAGTTAATAAGAGGGAAGACAGTTTTTGCTCAGCAGGTGGAACAAGCTGGGTGTTTGGGTTGGGTTTGGCGGCTCTAATAGGCTTGAACGGGTTAACTTGCAAAACAGGTCAATGCATGAAACCGGCCCACTTTTAAGTTCAGGTTCAGTTGAACCATTTCAATCGACCAAACCAGGTCGAGTTTTAAAATCATGGGTATAACACTTTAAAATTAATGTTTAATGATTTAATTTAATTTAATTTAATAAATAAAAATATTTAAATTATTAATAATTAAAATTATCAACTATTAAAATAAACAAAATTACTAATAATTAGTTTCAAACACCATGCCATACAACTCCTTTAGTTTTTCCCACCTAAGTGACACCTTTAACAACAATATCAATTAGAATTTCGATTCATAATTTGTGTGATCATTGTGTAAGTATTTCATCTATATCATTGAGATTCAACTTTTTGGTGTCCCTATTTCCCCTTTCCCAATTGCCCCAATTTCCTCAATATAAAAATAATAATAATAATTTTATTTTCATACCAACATAAAGTTTAAAATTATAAAAATATTTTTAGTGAATAAAAATACATAAATATTTATTATAACTCTATTTTTTCTCATAAATATTATTTTTTTTGAATTTGTTTAATTAAAAGTACAATTTAAAGGTGAATCTAAAGTTATATAATTTAGAGATTGAGAAAAGAGAGAAAAGAATGAGAAAAGAAAAACAAAGGAATAAAAATTAAAATGCCTAATATTTTAATATTAGAGTTAAAATATTTAAATATTTTAAATATTTTTTTGTGTGTTAATTTATTAGTAGACCTGGCAATTTTTTACCCAACCCGTTAACCCGCCCGTTATCCACCCATTTAAAACGGGTTAGGGTC